CTCTCCCCCATCCCACCAGGGGGGAGTGAGCGAGTGGCTGTGTGGTGCTTAGTTGCTGGCTGGGGTTAAACCACAACATAGACTTAATGTATTCTGCTGCACAAGGATCTCTTCCTTCTTTTTCCTAGTCTAATATCTATCTTTACCATATCTAAATTGTGAGCTTCTGAAACACGCAAAGAAGTTTTTCAGTCTGTCTATCTGTATAGATACCGATGTTTTCTTTCCTTGGAAATTATTACCACTAAACTAATTTGCATTTGTTACATATAACATCTAAGATTTGCTGCATTTCTAAAGCTCTTTTGAGATTAAGCAAGTTTCTACCTGTATAGCAGTAAAGAATAGGATCCTTTCTTATCAAGTAATCTGTAGGTAATTGAAAGATTTCTTTAACCTCGAAAGTATTGCTATCCAACGTAAAAACTAGTCATAGCTATGTATCTAGGATTTTTATCTTTTTTTTAATCACATAAAGAATTAATTGTCAGGATTCAGAATAATGCAAAAAAGGTTTACAATATTTTTTTATAAGGAGAATCTCTTATTGGCTGAAAATTCCAAAATATGATTCTGTCTCCATTCAAAGAAACCCACTGCAGTTTAAGGATTTTCTTCAGCCTTTTGGGTGTTTATTTAGGGCTATTGAATAATACAGACTTGGCCATTTTAAGCCTATGACTTGATCATGAAAAAATGTCCTGTTCAGTACTGACACACGCTGAGTTTTCAAATACCCAGTCGCTGTGTAAAACAGTCTGCAAAATTCCAGCCTAAAAGTAAGTGGCCAGCTGCCTTCCAATTGCTAATAAATCTCTGTGTTAGACTACCCAGCGCACTTTCACTGTTACAAGTGAAATGCCCCCCAAAATAAACACTAATGGGGGATCCAGTCTGCCTTATCTAGCCACTAAACATGCACCTACCTTTTAAGCTCTTCTTTTAAAGGGAATAGTTTCCTATGGAATACTTGGAAAGAGGTAGGTATCCTGCTGGCCTCCAAAACGACATTCAGCCTGCCTAAATTTTGATGGCTGGATAGCTGATTTATTTTTCATTTGTTTACCTCAAGTTTGTTTTGGGGTTGTTTTTTTTTTGTTGTTTTGGGGGTTTGGGTTTTGTGGGTTTTTTTGTCAAAAGCAGGTGATGCATAGGAGGGAAAACTAAAGCATTTTTGCAAGCTAGGGGAAAAGAGTCTCCCTTGTATGTAATACTAGGTCCCATTCCCTGTTATGAATTAATATCAGCATAAGGAGTTAGAGGTGACTCCTACATTCCTTATGCAAGCAAAATTCCAAATTAATTGGAAGTTGCCAGAGCAAGACATACAAGATCAAGACGATTAACATACTAGCTAATTCTTGAGCCACCTTTCTACTGGAAACTAAGTATATCACTTTGTCTTAGTTCTTAGTATTTTGTCTTTATATTGTTTTTGTCTTGTTCTAGCATTTCCTTTGGCTGAGGCTTTGTGGAAATTACACTAAAAAAGCAACACTGAGTAGTTTATTAAAAAGTAACAGTGAAAAGCTCAAAAAAAGGCTCCTCTCCCCATTAAGTCTTGTCTAAAACTGCATTGGTTTCACTGGAAGCAGAATGTAGCCTCAGAACATGAAACCCCAACCCATCCTCCAGCACTGTGGACATCAGTTCCTACTGTAATGCTCCTTAAAATTTAGGGCTTGCTGACAAAACTGTTGATTTATTTTCAGACTACAGAGCTAGAATAACTATTGGCATCAGTATCTTGGCAATTTTTCTTAAGATTATCTACATGAATATGTAGAAATCTGGTACACGCATTATTGTTTGGAAAACAATAGATGGTACCTTTGCATAACAAATTTCAGAAGCCGAGACTCATCCTAATAAGTTTAAAATAACTGTTAAAATTGCCTACAGTATAGCCACATTAAGTAGAAGACATTACTATCTTTACACTTTCAAGTAGGAAACCAAGTGTATCAGTTACACAGCTATTATTCACATACTGCTTTCAAAGCCACAAGGTTATTAGATATATTGAAGATCTAACATTTTTATAACAAATCTGGTAACAGTTAAATGGCAAGGGTGGATCACAATGAATCTAAATGAATCCTGGCTGGTATACCTTACTGTCACATTTTAGGTGGCATTGATGCATTGCAAAAAAAAGCAGCAGCATTTTTTTCTAGCATATAGTGTCCCAAGTGCTTTCAAAAGTGACTGTGTTCTCTTTATACTTATTTAGCTTTTATGGACCCATTGCTTACATGGGTATCTGCATGGCATTACACACTTCAGTGCCTGCAGTTTTGCCTTCTCAAGGAACTGTATAGAGTTAAATATGGGTACAGATGATGGCAGATATGTAATTACATATTGAGGTTGAGTACATGTGGAGCTGTTGAGTGCTTCGCTGATTTATGATGAATATGATGATCTCTGCATTAACTTGATACTCCATGCTAGTGGGAGAAAGTTCTTCCAAGGTCTTCTAGTCCAGACTTGAGGCAAAAGTGGACTTTGAAAGTAAAACAAAGCAAAGATTGGTCAGGCAGGTACAACGGTTACAACAGCAGTCAACACAGCTAAAAATCACTATTAGCGTTTCTCCTTGCTCTTCTTGCTGTCCTCTGGCACCCTGAATACTCTCTGTATTCCTCCCTCTCTCACACTCATCCGGCTTCACCTTGCAAGGCAAGCTACCAAGTAATGGGCACCTATAGGCAGATTCTAGAGGGCAGGGAAATAAAACAATGAGCATAGTTTAGCTGCAGCAAAACAGTCAATTGTGCATCAGAAATACTGAATTTTCCACTTCAGAGAGCCAGCCAAGTCTTGTTTTAGAATAACAGAAAATTCACGTATGTTAGAGCTGCTGTAGTTTACAATCAGCTTCTCTTTCAAAGATTTTTTCAACAATTCTGAAGACTGGAAGTCTCAAGGCAACACAGGACATTTTTTTCTGCTAAGTCCACAGCTGAGGGGTCACATAGCACAAAGAGCTCTCAGAGTGGTTTAGTTTGTGTGCTTTAGTTTGAACTGTTTGTTGTATTCCAACAAATTTGTTTGATATTTTATTGATTAAGAAAAGTGTCTGTCTTGTCTTTGTTCCCTGTGCTGGCTCTCCATTGAACGCAAAGTCTTTCTCTTATTCTTGAGGACAAACTACCATGGCCAAAGAATCACCTAAGATTAAGGTTAATAATTATTTTCCTCGGGAATAAAGCATCTT